ACTATTGCTATAACAGTTGCTGCTCTTATTAACGGTCATCACTTCCTGAAGTGGGTCAGGACAAAGGTTGCTTCTTTTTAGAAACAGAAGCAATCAAAACTAAAAACAAAGTCAGTGTTGAAGTATTGCACTGGAAAAAGAAAAAAAAAACTTGTATAATATTTTTTTTATAATCAGTTATTTTAAATTCAATTGATGCATTTATTTATTTATTCATTTATTTTTTTACAACATTATATTCAACAATTTTTCATCATCTTTAGTCACCTTTTCTTTTTTTTTTTCTTGGTTTCCAATGTTATTCATTCAGTGTTAGTGGTTCAACAATTTCCTCTTATTTTTACCACCAAAAAACGTTCTTGATTTTTTTTTTTCCAGTAATAAGTGTAATCTGGTACAAGTTGCTTTGTATCCCGTTAAGTTGTTGTTGTTGCTGACGATGAGTGTTGATAGTCTCTTTTTTTTTTTGGTCTTAACAAGAACAAAAAAAGAAGAAAGAAAGATAAAAGAAAAAGTACTCATAAAATTGGTTTTTTCATCAACGAATATATTCCATCACCCCTTTTGAAGTTTTCTCCACCACCACCACCAGAAAAAAGAAAAAAAAAAGTTAATTTTACCTCAGAGAACAAGAAGATAGAAGAAGAAGAGAAAAAAAACTGCCCGAATAATCGGAAGCCAACAGTTAAATCCGTTTTGGTACATTTAGGCAACTCGTAAAGGATTAAATTTTTTCATTTTTTTGTTCAGATAATGCCATTGCCCTCGTAACTTTTCACTACCCCCCACCCCGGTTACTGCCCCGTTAGAAACACCGCATGACCATGTTGCTGCTATCGTTATAAAGTTTCAGAAATCAGAAGTGAAACAATGACACTGCTGTTGGTTTTATTTAAAATGTTTAGAAGTTTTGTAATACTTAATTAAGTGATTAACAAAAGCTGTAAATTAAACTAATCTAAGAGAGAGAGAGAGAAAAAAAAAGCAGTCTTTTTTTTGTGTGTGAAAAGTGTGAAAAAAAAAGTTGCTGTAAAGTAAACTAATATTTAGATTTGTCATCAAAAATAGCTAATAAAATAATTGCTAATAATCTTTGTTTTTTTTTCTCCTTCTTCTTCTTCTTCTTCTTAGTGATACAGAAAAAGATTAATGCATGAAAAATTAGAAGCATTAGACGACAACGACAACGACAACAACAATCAATAAAAAAAA